CTGCACATCTTCTCAACAATCTTGGGCTCAACTTGTCTGGCCCACAGCCTTTTCTTGGTCAAGTGATTTAAGAAGGAAATGCACCTCCTCCTGCCTTATTGTCACCACTGACAGTTTTTACACAGTTCTTGCAGCTAGCCAAGGAGGGTCCCTTGCTGGATCAGGAACTTGCATTTTGGTAGCAAAGTGTTCAGCAAAGAGGTCCGCCTTCTCTTGACTACTAGTAGAGGTGGTCCCATCCTGTCGATTTAGAGGTGGAATAAGTTCATCAGGCAGATAACCTTGTCTTGTCTCTCCCCTCTCTCTCTCTCTCTCTCTCTCCTTCTCTCTCCCTCTCTCTCTCTCTCTCTCTCTCTCTCCCTCTCTCTCTCTCTCTCTCTCTCTCTCCCTCTCTCTCCCTCTCTCTCCCTCTCTCTTACTCAACCACTTCAGAACTTTTTTCATCTTTGTCTCACGTCTTCTCTGGTTTGTTTGTCGAAGACTTGAAGCGTTCTGACACCCCACTCTCCCCCACACTCTCCCCAACACTCTCCCCCACACTCCCACACGCCACAAAGGGGGCAGGATACAGGATACAGACCGGGACAGGATACAGACCGATAGCGCTAACGTCCCATATAATAAAAATCTTTGAAAGGGTTCTAAGAAGTAAGATCACCACCCATCTAGATACCCATCAGTTACACAATCCAGGGCAACATGGGTTTAGAGCAGGTCGCTCCTGTCTGTCCCAACTACTGGACCACTATGACAAGGTCCTGGATGCTCTAGAAGACAAAATGCAGATACAGTAAACACAGAATTTGCAAAAGCCTTTGGCAAGTGTGACGATGGTGTAATAGCGCATATAATGCAGGATAAAGAAAAAACAGGAAAAGTTGGTAGATGGATCTATAACTTCCTAACAAATAAAACACAAAAAATAACATAAAAGAGTAAAGTCGGGGCGGCTACGGTGAAAAGTCTTTTCCCATGGCCCCGTACTCGCTCCACCTTTTTTTCATTGCATATCTGACAAGACAGGGATTAGCCACACCCCGTGTTTTCCTTGCAGAGCCCCCCCCACTTGATGCTGTCCTCCACTGCGACACTGCAAGGGTCCAGGGGAAAATCAACCAAAACTTTCAATGGGCCCCAGAAAACAATTGAAGTTTAGTGATGAGGGTTTCAATTGCTCCAATATGGGAAAAAATGAGAAAATTAAAACTAATCGATATAAAAAAAAATTCCAACCACACAAAAGAGGAAAAAAAAATGTAAAAGACCTGGGGGTGATCAAGTAAAGGATCTCACCTTTAAGGGCCATAACATTGACATCGCATCTGCTAGAAAATAACAGAGGTAATGAGAACCTTTAAAACTAGGGGGCCCCAAACCCAGATAACTCTTCAGGTCGCTTGTTCTTCTAGGCTGGAATATTGCTGCACACTAACACACTTTTCAAGGCAGGTGAAATTACTGACCTAGAAAATGTACAGAAAATTCACAGCGGCATAAAGGGGATAAAACACCTCAAAACTGTGAGCGCTTGAAGTTCCTGAACCTGTATTCCCCGGAACCAGGGGGGGGAAATACATGAAATTTTACACTTGGAAAAAACCTAAGGGATTAGTCTAAACCAAACCAAAATCACTTTCCCCCCAAAGAAGAGATGGGGGCCACTACAAAGATAAGAACAAAACAAAATGTCATGACCCAAAACTCTTCAACTGCCTCCCAGCATACAAAGGGGGGGTTTGAAACGACCCTTGGCTGTCCCTTTAAAAAGGCGCTAGACAACCTTCAAGCCAGTACCTCCCCGGGGCCCTGGTTCGCCGTGGGTTTTTTCGGGTAACAGTAACAGCCTCGTTTATCAGGCCCCGGTCCACCATGAGACCCGTGACAACCCGGCCGCAGGGGGGTTTTACCCCCGAAACCCCCTCCAGGATGCACCTCTCCCCCACCCTCCCCTCCTCCCCCCCCACACCACCCCACCAAAGTTCACCACCACCACACTCCCCCACCCCACACACTGTCACCCCAAACACTACCACCACACCACAACTGTCACCACCACCACACTGCCAACCACCAACCCGGAGGGGCATTTACCACCACCACCACACTGTCCAACCACTCACCACTCTAACCGCAACCCACATCACCACCACCACACTGTCACCGACCAATACACTGTCACCACTACCACACTACCACCACCACCACCACACTGGTCAACCACAATACACTGTCACCACCACCACACACCACCAACCACCACCACACTTGTCACCACCCACCACACTGCCGTGCCACCCACCACCACCACACAATCCACCTCCACACTGTCACGCCACCACCCTCTACACCACCACACCACCACCCACCACCACCACCACCCCACCACACCACCACCACCACCACCACCACCAGCATACCCACCACACCACAACACAGTCACCACCACCTACACTACCACCGAACCACACCTCTATCATGCTACCAACCACCACCACCACCCTCCACCACCACACCCACCACCACGACTACCACTACAATCCAACCCCACCACCACCACCGTAGGAACACTATATTTTACCACCCCACCACCACCACACTAACCACCACCACACAGTCACCACCCACCAACTCTACCACCACCACACTTCACCACCACCACCACCACTCTACCACCACCACACCACCGCTGCATACCACGAGTGACACCACCCACCACACTGTCACCATCGCCCCACCACTGTCACCACCACCACACTACCCACCACAACCACACTGTCACCCCACCACCACACACTGCCACCACCACCACACTACCCACCACCACTCACCACCACACTGTCACCACCACCACTCTACCCGAGCCACCACATCACCCACCACCACAGTCACCAACCACTACACTGTCACCACCACCACACTACCAACTACCACCACCCCACCAACACCATCCCACCACCTTAATTACCACCACACTACCACCACGCACAAAGGCCACCACCTACACAACACCACACTACCAACACCACCACTCTGTCACTCACCACCACACTAACCACCACCACCACACTGTCCACCACCACCACTCTAAAACCACCACCATCACACCACCACACCTGTCAACCACCACCACACTACCACCACCACACTACCACACCACCACACAACCACAAACCTCATTACTACCACCACCACCACACACGCACCACCACCACACTACCACCACCACCACCACACTCTTATCACACTACCACTACCACCACCACAACTACCACTCTTACACTAACCACCCCACACCCACCACCACACTACCACGGGGGGGCCCCCCCACTCCACACTACCACACCACCCACCACCATCACCCTGTCCACCACCACTACCTACCACCACCACATCTCTATCATGCTACCAACACCACCACCACCACACCACCCCACACTACCACAGACACTACCACTCCCACCACCACCATCACACTACCACCCCCTCCACCACCACACCACTACCACCACACCTGTCACCACCACCTCTCCTACCACCACCACCACCACGACTGTTACCCACCACCACACACTGTCACCACCAACCACAACTAACACCACCACCACACCACACCTCACTACTACCACACCGTCCACCACACTGTCAACACTCACCACCCACTGTCACCACCACCCACTACCACTACCACCCCCTCCACCACCACACCACCTCACTACCTACCCCTCACACTACCACCACCACCACCACGAGACCACACCTCACTACTGCCAACCACCCACCACATCACCACCCACCACCGCACTGTCACCACCACCACCACTACCACCACCCCCACCACCACCACACCAACCTCACTACCCCCACAATACCACCACCACCGACCACACCTACCACCTCACTACTCACCACACCACCACCACACTGTCACCGGGACCACCACCAGCACCACCACCTCACAACTACCACCACCACCACACGTCCACCACCACCACCACACTGTCACCACCACGACACTACCACTACCACACCTCTATCATGCTACCCACCACCCCACCACCACCACACCACCACACTACCACTACCACCACCCCCACCACCACCACCACACTACCACCACCACACACCACCACCACCAACACTACCACTACACTACCACCACCACCCACCACACTACACACCACCACCACCACACATACCACTACACTACCACCACCACCACCACACTACCACCACCACCACCACACTACCACTACATACCACCACCACACACCACACTACCACCCACCCTCCACCACACTACACACCACCACCACCACACTACCACTCACACCAACACCCCCACCCACCACCACCACCACCACACTACCTACCACCACCACCACCACCACACCACCACCACCACACTACCACTACACTACCACCACCACCACCACACTACCACGTGTAGATAACAACGCTTCTGGGCTGCCAGACGTAAGCCTCCTACTTACAGTAAGGTACTATGTTAATTTACGGCGATGTAACTGAATCTACATTAACAAATACTAGATTTTTGTGGCGGCCTAAAACAGGCAGTAACAACGTTGCTTTTCCGACGATGTTGAATCCGTGAAGAAATGCAATGTTCTGAGGAGACTCACCTCAGTGACGAGACTCACCTCAGTGACGAGACTCACCTCAGTGACGAGACTCACCTCAGTGACGAGACTCACCTCAGTGAGACGAGAACTCACCTCAGTGACAAGACTCACCTCAGTGACAAGACTCACCTCAGTGACGAGACTCACCTCAGTGACGAGACTCACCTCAGTGACAAGACTCACCTCAGTAACAAGACTCACCTCAGTGAGGAGACTCACCTCAGTGAGGAGACTCACCTCAGTGACGAGACTCACCTCAGTGACGAGACTCACCTCAGTGACAAGACTCACCTCAGTGAGGAGATTCACCTCAGTTAGGATACTCACCTCAGTGAGGAGATTCACCTCAGTTAGGATACTCACCTTGTCGTTGTTCATTCCTCAAGACTCGCACCTTGGGTAGACCAGACAGCAACAGACCATCCGAGGCTGTGGGCGAGACCAAATAAAAATTAAAAATCATACATACGAATAAACATAAAAAAATAGCATATGAGAGGCTTTTTCTAAGCAGAAGTGATATAAGGGGATGTGGGGAGTATATGAAGAGTAAAAGAGAGGTGAAGAGAGTGGTGAGGGAGTGTAAAAAGAGAGTAAATGAGAGAGTGAGCGAGGTTCTGTCAACAAATTTTGCTGAGCATAAGAAAAAGTTTTGGAGCGAGATTAATAAGTTGAGAAAGCCTAGTGAACGAATGGATTTAAAAGTTAAAAACAGAAAAGAGGAGTTATTAGATGGGGAGTTGGATGTATTGGGAAGATAGAGGGAATATTCTGAGGAACTGTTAAATGTTGAAGAAATGAGAGCAGTGACTTAATGCATTGAGCAGGGAGTTATAACATCTTTTAGGAGTGAGGAAGAAATGGATGTGAGTGTGGGGGAGGTGCGTGAGGCTGTGGGATTGATGTGATCAAGACTGATAAAGGGGAAGGTACCCAGGGATTGGCAGAGACCGTGCATAGTTCGTTTGTATAAAGGAAAGGGGGTTAAAAGAAAGTGTAAGGATTATACAGGAATACTCTTGTTGAGTATACTTGGTAAAGTGTATGGTAGAGTTATTATTGAAAGAATTAAGAGTAAAACGGAGAGCGGGATCATGAATAAACAAGGAGGCTTTAGGAAGGGTAGGGGTGTGTAGAAAGTGTTTACAGTGAAATATAGGTGAACAATATTTAGATGAGGGTATTTAGAAAAGGCATATGATTAGGGTGGACAGAGGAGCACTGTGGCAGATGTTGCAAATGTACAGAATAGGTAGTAGGCTACTTAAAGAAGTTAAGTCCCGTAGCTCGGTTAGTAGCGCACTCAGCTCACACACACTGAGGTCTGTGGTTCGATCCCCAGTACGGGTGGAAACACTGGGGGCGTGTTTCCTTAAGACACCTGTTGTCCCTCTTCACTTAGCAGTAAATAGGTACCTGGGTGTTAGTCGACTGGTGTGGGTCGCAACCTGGGGACATAACCTAATTTGCCCAAAATACTCTGCATAATAAGGAACTTTCTATAGAGTATATCACTGATGTCAGCGAGGATTGTATAAGTTGTATCATGGAATTTAGAAATAAAGTTTATATAAAAGTTTATATGAGGATAGTGAGGCACAGGTTAGAGTGTGTATGAGAGAGGAAAGTTATTTTCCGGTAAAAGTAGACCTTACCTGGAGTTTACCTGGAGAGAGTTTCGGGGGTCAACGCCCCCGCTGCTCGGTCTGAGACCAGGCCTCATGGTGGATCAAGGGCCTGATCAACCAGGCTGCTCCTGCTGGCCGCACGCAAGCTGACGTACGAACCACAGCCCGGTTGGTCAGGTAATGACTTTAGGTGCCTGTCTAGTGCCTTCTTAAAGACAGCCAGGGGTCTATTGGTAATCCCCCTTATGTATGCTGGGAGGCAATTGAACAGTCTTGGGCCCCAGACACTTATTGTGTTGTCTCTCAGTTTACTCGTGGCGCCCCTGCTTTTCATCGGGGGAATGTTGCATCTCCTGCCGAGTCTTTTGCTTTCATAGGGAGTGATTTTCGTGTGCAAGTTTGGTACCAATCCCTCCAGGACCTTCCAAGTGTATATTATCACGTAGATCTCTTGCCTGCGTTCCAGGGACTAAAGATCAAGGACCTTCAACTGTGTCAAAACTGTCAGTGGTGACAATAAGGCAGGAGGAGGTGCATTTCCTTCTTAAATCGCTTGACCAAGAAAAGGCTGTGGGCCCAGACAAGTTGAGCCCAAGATTGTTGAGAAGATGTGCAGACCAGCTAGCAGCACCTCTAACTCGCATCTTTCAGCACTGTCTAGTACAGTGTAAATGGCCCTCTCTATGGAAAGAGGCGAATGTAGTCCCTGTTCACAAAAAGAAGAGCAGAGCAGAAATCAGCAACTACAGACCAGTGTCACTCCTCTCAATCACTGGTAAGATCCTTGAGACAATAATCTCAAGACAAATGACAGAGTTTTTTGACTACCACTCACTACTTTGTGATCGTCAATATGGCTTCAGGAAAGGTTACTCCCGCTGCTGATCTGTTTGTTAAACCTCTCCACTAAGTGGCAACCAGTCACTGGATGAATCCAAAGTCAGCTGTGTGGTAGCACTGGACATTGCTGGCGCTTTCGACCGGGTGTGGCACCAGGGCCTCTTAGCAAAACTTCAAGCACTGGGAATTGCAGGCTCTACGATATGTCTCCTCAGTGACTACCTTCATGGTAGATCTCTAAGTGTAGTTCTCAATGGAACGGAATCAGCAAGACATCCTATTGGGGCAAGTGTTCCACAAGGAAGCGTGCTGGGTCCATTGTTATGGAATTGCTACTTCCAACGACCTTCTTCATCTCATCCCAGAATCACATGCATATGCAGACGACTGTACACTGACATTCACTTATCCAAGAGAAGAAATGCCAGCTGCTCTAAGCTACATCAATCACCAGCTGAGAGCTATATCAGCTTGGGGAAATAGATGGCAAGTAACATTTGCACCTGAGAAGACGCAAATGATGATCGTCTCTAGGCACCATGATGGTAATGCTGGTGCAGTAGTAAGGATGAATGGGAGGATGTTGGCACCTGGAGAAGTTGATATCCTTGGGGTGAAATTTGACTCCAAACTAACCATGAAGAACCATGTTGTAAATCTTGCAAACAAGGCAGCCAGGAAGCTTACAGCACTTCGCCGTATCTTCCATCTGCTTGACAGTAGGGTTGCAAGATCCTGTACGAGGCACAAGTAACGCTCGCACCTTGAGTATGCTCCACTTTCTTGGTTTGCCTGCCCCCTCCTCTCATCTGCGACTGCTTGACAGAGTAGAGAACAGAGCAAGACGTCTCATCTCTAGCCTTGGCCCATCCTGGATAGATCTGTCATTTCAGCAGAGCCTTGAACATAGGAGGGATGTGGGTGGCCTTACTGTTATGTACAAGGCCAATATTGTCAAAAACCACACTTGGATCCACTTCGAGGACAGCGTGAAACAAGCTTTATGCCACAAACGGGCAGAAAGCAGCAACTTCACTCTGGCTGTACCCTTCTCCAGAACATCACTCCATCTGAGATCATACATACCCAGATGACTCGAGTATGGAACACATCGTACAGGATAATGATGTCAACGAGATAAAGTCAGTTGATCATAAGAAAATGCTGGCCCACAGATGGCTCCAACTTCATCCTGTTTCCTACTTGTATGTCTCATAACAATAAAAATGCTTTCAAATGAGCTGATGTAGGTAACAGCTCTTAGCTTGCCAATAAAGTTAGGAATCCTTAACCTGTAAATAGCTGTCAATAAAGCTAGGGATCCTTAACCTTGTCAAACCCTGTGTAAAAAAAAAAAAAAAAAAAAGGAGAGAGAGAGAAAGGAGAAAGAGAGGGAGGGAGAGGGAGATCACAAGACGGGCAGAAAGCAGCAACTTCACTCTGGCTGTACCCTTCTCCAGAACATCACTCCACCTGAGATCATATATACCCAGGATGACTCGAGTATGGAACACATTCGTACAGCATAATGATGTCAACGAGATAAAGTCAGTTGATCAGATGAAAATGCTGACCCACAGATGGTTCCAACTTTATCCTGTTCCCTACTTGTAAGTCTCATAACAATAAAAATGCTTTCAAATGAGCTGATGTAGGTAACAGCTCTTAGCTTGTCAGTAAAGTTAGGAATCCTTAACCTGTAAATAGCTTGTCAATAAAGCTAGGGATCCTTAATCTAACCTTGTCAAACCCTGTGTAAAGAGAGAGAGAGAAAGAGAGAGAGAGAGAGAGAGAGAGAAGAGAGAGAGAGAGAGAGAGAGAGAGAGAGAGAGAGAGAGAGGAGAAGAGAGAGAAGAGAGAGAAAAGAGGAGAGAGAGAGAAGAGAGAGAGAGAGAGAGAGAGAGAGAGAGAGAGAGAGAGAGAGAGAGAGAGAGAGAGAGAGAGAGAGAGAGAGAGAGAGAGAGAGAGAGAGAGAGAGAGACAGAGAGACAGAGAAACACTCACAATTATCACTAGCGTCGTCCACCAAGATGATATCCTCCAGCAAGTCCTCGGGGGTCCGGTTCAGCACACTGGTGAGGGAGACAGGGAAACAAGGAAACAGGAGGGACACGGGGAAAACAAGGAGGGAAACAGGGAGGGAGGCAGAGAGACAGGGAGACAGGAAAACAGGGAAGGAGACAGAGAAACAGGAAGGAAGATAGGAAAACAAGGAGGGAGACAGGGAAAGAAAGAGGGAGACAGAGAAACGGGGAAACAGGAAGGGAAACAGGGAAGCATTGAGGGAAAACAGGGAAAGAGGGAGTAGGGAAACAGGAGGGAGACAGGGAGGGAGACAGGAAACAAGAAGGGAGATAGGGAAAAAAGGGAGGAGACAGCGAAACAGGGAAGAAGACAGGGAAACAAGGGGGAGATAGGGAAACGGAGGGAAACAAGTAGTTGAAGTAGATAGTGAGACGGATAGAGAGAGACACCAGGAAAGGAAGGGAGGGAGGGAGGGAGGGAGAGAATGAGGCACGGAAGAAAGGAGATAGAGAGGCATGAGATAGAGAGGAAGGAGGCAGGAAAAAAATTCTTTTAATATTAATTCTCACTTGGACAGTATTATTCAAAATATTATTGTCACTTAAACTGATGAAGCATTTCTCAGCTTATAAACAACAACAACAACAACAACAACATGCTAACACTTACACCTAAACATTAAGTGTGAAAATTCTCTGTTTTATCAGCGGTGGTAAATTACCACAGGACAACACTACCCGCAAGACCCTCAGTCAGCGAAGTCTACATGTTACCTCATCTTCCTCTGGCGGTGTTGCTGCTCCTCTACCCAACGTCAACCAACATTTACTCAACGCTCGTCAAGCTCTTGTGAAGTAACTACAATGCAATGAACGTCAGTCTCTCATTCTAACCTTTTAAATATAGGATGATGGTTTGTGGGCTAGATTTAAGGACTGTTTTATGTTTCAACTTGAAGGAGACTACGGTTGATCCTGCGACTTCTACCTCCTGGGACAATTTTAATGTTGCTTTCCAGAGTTGCGGTTTGTAGGACAATGTTTTGTTTACTTACCTGAAGATGACTTGATCACTGGTACAAAGAGGAACTTACCTGGCTCACAAGGAGCGTACCTAGCCAATGAGTTTCTGAAGATATAATTGGTCACCTGACGAAGGAATGATTCATCTAAAGGAGTAAGTTGACTCTCCTGACAAGGAAATAACTTACGTGTACCTGAGGAAGGAGAAACTCAGGTGGACAAGAGAGTAATGTACCTGAGGGAGGCAACACTCACCTAACGACGGTGCGGAGGAGGGCAGACCTGGCCTCATTATGGAAGGTGATCACCACAGAGAGAGTAGGGAGGTCTTCGTCATCATAGTCCACCTGGTCACACCTGCACCATAACAACAACAACATTTTCCTGGTGTTCTCTAATGACAACATTTTGCAGAATATATATAATTTAAAGTTTGTGGTTTCCCACATAATATGAGATATTCTGAACTAGCTGCACTTATTGTTAAAGTTCTGTCCTTTGTTACGCCAGCACAGTTGTCTTCCGTTTCTGTTTTTTTACTATTCCAAACCTTGTATCCCCTTTTTCATCCGAATTTTTAGAGTCCTGATCTATATCCCGTATGTGTGAGTGTGCTTGTGGTGTTCAGACAAGGTTAACATACATTTAAAACCTACAGTTGAACTAAATAATCCATAAAATATGTAGGCTTTGGCTACAAATTATGTTACAGTGGTCTTCAGACTACGCAGACATAAAGGTCACTTAAAATGCGCATTACAGAGATTTAACCTAAGATAAGCCAATAAAGTCAAAGAATGTGACGTACGAGGCTGTCTTATGAAACACATTCTAAGAAACGTAAACAAAAACAACAATTTAAGGGATATTCATCAGAGATGATCCCGGAGTAAACGTAAGCTGACGACTTGAGAAATGGTGATAATGAGGTTGTAAACGACTCCAGGAGTGAACATGATTCAACCCATGACATGACGGGGCTAAATCACTACCCTCCCGTCATGGTATAAGTCACCGCCAGATCCAAATGACTAAGGTTCCGAGATCAAAAGGTATGCAGTAAAGATAAACCATACCACGGGTGGGGTTTGATCCGCGACGGTCTGGAGTTTTGAGACTCTCTGACCGCGGGATCAAACCCCACCCATGGTATGGTTTGTTTGCAATCGTGTCATTCCGATTTCGTGAGTCATGCAGTAAAGATGTTAGCGCATCAGCCTGTAAGTGCAGCGACAAACGAGTGAGAGAAGACAACATGCCGTCAACGTTGCAGTCGGTGTTTACTCAAATAGCCGAAGAATTTTTCACTAAAAACTATTTAAACTCATTAAAAATCCAAAGTGTACGACACACTTGTGTCCTTTCCTGCACATTGTTCATATCATTGCACCTTCTACCTTTATGTGTAGGGCAATAATTTAATGTTGTGGAGGGAGTGTAAAAAAATATTCGTGGATGTCTATCTTGAGAGAGAGTGAGTGACGTGCGTAATGAGCTGCAGGAGGAGGCAGAAGTCCAACAACTGCTGCACAATATAGGTAATTTTGAAAAAGAAAATATATAAACATAAGGAACACCCTGAGCAAGGCTCTGCTCCTGTAACCATAATGACGACGACTAAGTTCACCTAAACTAAAAGCTTTGTCAGTTGTCCTTGTCATGTCTTCATGAACCATCATTATTAGCTGATTGTTTCCTATGAATTGCTGTTTATTTGTACTTGAATTTCACTGTTATAGTTTGGGGGGTTGTAGTTTTTTAAAATTTTAAATAAACCCCTGACAATGAGCCGTGGACAATGAAGAACATTTGTATCAATTTACTTTTCAGATTATTGAACATCATACCAAAAGATATCAGAAACACTACTGGGACAAGTGTAGAAGTCTTCAAGCGGAAACTGGATAAGTATCTTGCTTAAGGGCCAGATCAACCAGGCTGTGCAGATATGAGAGGGTCTGCGGGCCTCCAGCAGCAATATAAGAACATAAGAAACGAGGAACACTACAGCAGGCCTGTTGACCCATACTAGGCAGGTCCTTCACAATCCATCGTACTAGTAAAATATTTGCCCAACCCAATTTTCAACGCTACCCAAGCAATAAGCTTTCATAATTCTTTTTACTCATGTGCAAGTCCCATTCAAATCCAACCCCTCTCACTTATGTTTTTATTCAACCTAAATTTGAAACTACTCAAGGTTTTAGCCTCATTAACCCTACTAGGTAGACTGTTCCACTCATCAACTACCCTATTTCCAAACCAATACTTTCCTACATCCTTTCTAAATCTAGACTTGTCTAATTTGAATCCATTACTGCGGGTTCTCTCTTGGAGAGATATCCTCAAGACCTTACTAATATCCCCTTTATTAATACCCATCTTCTACTTATACACTTCGATCATGTCTCCCCTCATTCTTTGTCTCACAAGAGAATGTCTTCAATCTTTCTTCATACGGAAGATTTCTAATGCAATGTATTAATTTTGTCAGTCGTCGCTGAATGTTTTCTAACGAATTTATATCCATTCTGTAATATGGAGACCAGGACTGAGCTGCGTAATCTATGTGACGCCTTACTAATGATGTATAAAGCTATAGTATAACTGCTGGACTTCTGTTGCTTACACTTCTTGATATAAATTCCAGTAATCTATTTGCCTTATTACGTACGCTTAGGCACTGCTGTCTTGGTTTAAGGTTGCTGCTTACCATAACCCCCAAGTCCTTTTCGCATTCTGTATGGCTAAGTTCTACATTATTTAGGTATCTTTATTGAGGAAATGTTTCGCCACACAGTGGCTTCATCAGTCCATACAAAGGAGAATCTTGAAGAACAGGAGTAGAATGAGGTAATCAGTCCCTCAACCTTGAGTCGATGTGGTCAGTCCATCAAGATTGATGGACTGACCACATCGACTCAAGGTTGAGGGACTGATTTCCTCATTCTACTCCTGTTCTTCAAGATTCTCCTTTGTATGGACTGATGAAGCCACTGTGTGGCGAAACGTTTCCTCAATAAAGATACCCAAGAGATGCACATGTGTCTATTCTACATTATTTAGTTGATAAGTGCAAGGGTTATGAACATTCCCGAGCTCCAGAACTTTGCACTGATCTAAAATGAATTGCATTTGCCACTTTTCTGACCAGGAATTGAGTTTATCTAAATCTTTCTGAAGCTCCATGACATCTACATATGAATCAATTATCCTACCTATCTTCGTGTCATCAGCGTATTTGCTCATATCAATAGTAATTCCCTCGTCAAGGTCATTTATATATATTATAAACAACAATGGGTCTAAAGCTGATCCCTGTGGAACGCCACTTGTTACTGATCCCCACTCAGATTTAACCCCATTTATGCACACTCTCTGCTTCCTATTGGTGAGCCATGTCTCGATCCATGACAGAACATTTTCCCCAATACCATGAGTTGCCACTTTCTTTAACAGTTTCTTGTGGAACTCTATCAAATGCCTTACTAAAATCAAAATAAACGATACCGAATTCTTTATCATGATCAACAGCCTCAAAAGCTTTACTGAAGAAAGTAAATTAGTTAGGCAGGAACGGTCCCTCGTGAATCCATGCTGATTATCATTAATCAAATTATGCTTATCAAGATGGTTTCTTATAATATCAGCTATAATTGACTCTAGTAATTTGCCTACAATTACTGGGCGGTATTTGACGGTAACGACTTGTCCCCTGCTTTAAAAATAGGAATCACACTGGCCATCTTCCACATATCAAACGCTACACCTATTTGAAGAAATATATTAAAAATATTAGTCAATGGTTCAAAAAGTTCCAATTTTCACTCCTTAAGAACCCTTGAAAAAAAGTTCATCAGGGCCAGGGGATTTATTTTGCTTCAGTCGGTGTTTGATAACCACATCGCTTATCTTCTTCAGGCACACTATAAAATTTAACTATTGGGATATTGTTAGTGTCCTCCTGTGAAAAGTGTCCTCCTGTGTGAAAAAGTGTCCTCCTCCTAGTTGACCAGGCCACGGGGCTTTACACGGTGAGGGTCCAAGTTCGATTCCCGGCGAAGGGGTGGAAGCATCGAACGTGTTTCCTTACACCGGTTGTGTATGTTCACCCATCAGTAAAATGGGTACCTGGGTGTTAGTCGACTGGTGTGGGTCGCATCCTGGGACAAAACTGACCTAATTTGCCCGAAATGCTCTGCATAACAAGCAGCTTTCTATATAATAGTATGTCACTGATGTCAGCTAGGACTGTATATCTTGTACACTTACTTGTAGTAAATAATGAAATTATTATTATTAAGTACCAGACAAGCCTGGCTTAAGACAGGGCTCCAGGAGTAAGAAAACTCTTGAAACCCAATAAAGGTATGATCACGCCCGCAACCCCCTTCCCCTCCCAGAAACACAAGAACCAACTAGCCCACAGAATGACCCAGAAAGTGACCAACCTGCCCAGAGAACGGCCAGGACCGACCTGGGATGACGGGTGTCAGGCAGCGACCTGTCGTTGGGCAGTGAGTTGGAGACACGCACATTGAAGGCGTGTCTGGCGTAGGGGTCGTGTTCCTTGTCTCTGACGTAGCCTCCGGCCAGGTAGCCTACAGCCTCAGACACGCTGATGGGGCTACCACCGCTACCAACGCCACCGCCCACCTGGTGAACACAAACAAATATTAGCTGGGCACATGCTCAATAAATTTTTACCTGGACATGATAAATTGAGTAGGGGTCGTTTAAAGTCATGATCATTAAAGGCCAAGGTCCTTAAAGGTCAGAAGTCCTTAAAGGTCAGAGTCCTTAAAGGTCAGAGGTCCTCAAAGATCAGGTGGTTCCTTAAAAGTCAGGGGGTTCCTTAAAGGTCAGGGGAAGAGGTCCTTAAAGGTCAGGATCATAAAAGACTTTGGTAAAAAAGACGTTTCAAAAGGAGGTGCTTTGATGCCAATAAAGTGCTCTTGATCGAAGGAACTGGAGCTACCCTCCTCTTCCTCTGATCAATTCTGACTGCCTCCTATTTTCCAGGTTTGTATGACTCCTATTCAACTAATGTAATAATGATTATCTGTTAAAAGACCTGGGTGTAATAATGTCAGCTGACCTTACATTTCAAAGAACACAATAAAGCAAGTGTCACAGTACTTAGGAAAGTGAAGGGGTGGATAATGAGAATCTTCAAAACACGGGAAATAGTACTACTGGTGATACTACTGACATCGCTTGTGCTCTCTCACAGAGTTTTGTTCATTGGTGACGGCTCCGTTCCGAGCAAGTGAGATATCAGAGCTGCACCAAATACAGATATCATTTACGGTCGGCATAGAGTCTATAAAGTATTTAAATTACCGGGAACACCTCAAAGTCTTTAATATGTACTCACTGGAGCAGAGGATAGATAACTGATGCCTGGAAAGTACCTGAGGATCTTGTCCCAAATCTGCACACCACCATAACAATATACTGGAGTGAAAGATATGGGAGGAAGTGCAAAATAAACCCACTGAAAAGCTGGGATGCCGTGGGCACAATAAGAAAACACTGTATCAGTATCCATGGCCCCAGACTATTCAACATCAGAAACACTGCTAGGACAAGTACATAAGTCTTCAAGAGGAAACTGAACAAGTATCTACATGTGAATGAGATTATTTGGTGACTCTTGCAGCGGAGCAGGGTTCAATTATAAACGTCTTCGGAGGCTTCTTACTTTATTTGCAAAGTCGTGGTGGGTACACAGGCTTGTGTGTTGTGCCCATGGCCCGGGAGGGCCATGCCCAGCGAGGGAGAGAGGAAGTAGACTGTTGACTGCTTCTAGGCTGCTGAGTGAGTGCAGCGAGTGAGTGAGTTGGGACCAGCGTCCCACTGACCTTTGCAGGCCTAGAGGGCAGCACCTTAGTGCCATGAAATATGAACTAAGCTGGCAGACAGCCATAGGCTGTCTGTGCAGACAGTACAGGCTGTCTACATTTGCTCGGCCACCTACCTCGCTTCGTCCCGACGTGACAATACTGGCGGTGAAAAACCTCGGTCTCTTGTAAGAACAGGGTACAGAACACAGAATAAAAAACATGTATACACATATGGACATAGAAAAAAAAACTTCCTACAGGGAGGGAAGAAAAAAACATGTGGGGTGTGCTAAACATCGTGGTCATAGGCAGTGAGCATCGAAGGGCATCACTGCACACCTTCCTGCATCTGGACAGATACTACAACACAGGAGACATTGCTGCGGCTGAGCTGTAACATAACGGGGTATGGTCTCCTCTAGAACGGTGAAGCAGTCATCGTAGGAGCCACTGCAGGTTTCACTCAACCTGGGGCACAACATGTTGGTGCCCTTGAGTGAGGCATTGTCAAAACTCGGCAACTGGGCAGGACTTCTGGCAAGCAACTCAGGAGGACACTTTTCGACTTGTACTGTTGCTGGGCTGTCACTGCCGGCGACCGTGGAGTGAGTCGTGTAGCAAGTCATGGCAGAGACTACTGGGCGAAACATCTGGGAGTCATAACATCATACACCATATGCAGTGAGCGAGCTAGCAGTCAAAGTGTCATCATCTTTGTGTGGGAGCTCACTGAAGCTATGACACGAGGCTGACACAGCGCCTGCCGACAGGGCTAACTGCGGCTTGACGAGTGTCATTCTCTTGGCAGTTGGAATTATAGCAGAGGTAAGTCTAAGCATTCCCAGACTTGTTTCTCTACATATAACTGCACTCTGAAGGTCTGGAGGTGAAGTGAAACAAATCTCGATGGGAATCGTAGCAGGTACGATTCTGCAGAACATCACGAGCAGCGAACAATAAGTGCTTTCTGTACAAGAGGCTCGGTCACTCCTGGTTGAGTAATATCAGCTGTCAAACACGCTGGTCCCACTGGGTGACAGGCAACATAGAGCTACACAGGGGTCTGGCTGCAGACCTGTGGTCGACACACAGCTGGGCTCAAGACCACACAGGACACATGGAAAACTTCACACACACCCGTGGTACGTGCAGTACAACATGGCTTAAACTAGCAATGATGCTTTTCTGTGCACAAAATTGACACTAAGCCATACACTAACATGTGAGAACACTGACTGAGAGGAATTAATTAACACGACATATATCTTCTCTCAATCTTCTCGACAATACTGACATAATTACTGAAACACTCAATGTGACATCATGTGATGTCAGGCGTGACATCGTGAGGTGATGTCAGCAGCACTGTGATGTCAGCAGACATCTCGAGGTGACGTCAGGTGGACATCGTGATGCCATGAAGTCAGGCAGCAGCATCGGTAACTCACGTGGCTCATAGATCCACGTGGCTTCGTCCACACCACACGTGGCATCGGGATCCACGTGGTTTGCTGATCCACGTGGCATCGTGATCTACGTGACATGCTGATCCACTTAGCTTCGAGTGGCCTTGGGCACTCGGATACACAGCTCTGGCAATGAGTTCACATGGAAAACAGCAGAAAACACAGCAGAGGGAGTGATGGCATGGTGGTGTATGGTAGGCTGGTGAGGTGTGAGTGTACAGCAGACCGAGCATGGGCGAGGCAAGGAATGGCCATTTCTTTATCTTCTCCCACAAACACAGAGACACGCACACTGGACGCAGAAATCACAACAAAACTCACCTCTGGCTTGCTGAAATAGCTGTGCTGAGCTGAACAACAACAGCAACATACAAGAGACGCTGAACACGTGACTTGAGAAACAGCGTGGGATGCTGTAGCGTGGGGTCACTGTGACGCCACTTATATTTCTCGAAGAAATTTGGGAAATGTCGGCTAGATCCTGCTTGTACCTGTGTCTGGATGCTGAAACGTGCAGACATGACATCAGGATAACTCGTTGAGAGATGGATGCTTGTTGTGTAGGGGGATGAAACAACTTCATCCCTTCCTCTCTCAAGGCAAACACAACTTGCTGCCACCAACTGCTTCCCACCAATGTTTAATGAGTTTATTTGGTGTTTCTGGTAGCGGGGAGTAAATGATACGTCTTCGGAGGCTTCTTTACTTTATTTGCAAAGTCGTGGTGGGTACACAGGCTTGTGTGTTGTGCCCATGGCCCGGGAGGGTCATGCCCAGCGAGGGAGGGAGGGAGTAGACTGTTGACTGCTTCTAGGCCGCTGAGTGAGAGCGGCGAGTGAGTTGGGACTAGCATCCCACTGACCTTTGCAGGCCTAGAAGGCAGCACCTTAGTGCCGTGAAATATGAACTAAGCTGGCAGACAGCATAGGCTGTCTGTGCAGACAGTACAGGCTGTCTACATACACAAAGTGCCAGATCAGAAAGGTTGTGATGGTTATGCGAGCCAGCAGCAACAGTCTGGTTGAGAAGGCAGGCATTAGACAAAACTAACCCAGGGCCAGGTTCTGGGAGAAGGAAAACTCTCGAAACCCATGTTATAATGTGCAAGGAAAACTGGATACATGTACTGAGGACAGAAATATTGAGTTTAGCCAGGAGCGTCCATCTCTCTGTCGTGTCTCCTTCAAATGAGAGGCCAGAGACAGAGTTCATGAGGAGAGAACCAAGGCGCCCCAGGCACGCGCAGTCATGTCAGCCCACCACACGGGTCAACCCTCAAGTGATTCATAGACGAGCTAGTCAACCTTCCTTACACTAAGACACAAGGACACACACACACCTGGTAATGACAAGGTCTAGTCAGCAGCACAGTACCAGGGTACATGATAAAGTCTTGTAGGTTACATACACACACACACACACACAAAGAGCAAATGTAGTTCCAATTTTTAAAAAAGGAGACAGACAAGAAGCACTAAACTATAGACCAGTGTCACTGACATGTATAGTATGCAAAGTCACGGAGAAGATTATCAGAAGAGTGGTGGAACACCTAGAAAAAATGAGCTTATCAACAACAGCCAACACGGTTTCAGGGACAGGAAATCCTGTGTCACAAACCTACTGGAGTTCTATGACAGGGTGACAGCAGTAAGACAAGAGAGAGAGGGGGGTGGATAGATTGTATTTTCTTGGACTGTAAGAAGGCGTTTGCACAGTTCCACACAAGAGATTAGTGCAAAAACTGAAGGACCAGGCAGGGATAACAGGGAAGGCACTACAATGGATCAGGGAAATACCTGTCAGGAAGACGGCAGCGAGTCATGGCCCGAGGCGAGGTGTCAGAGTGGGCGCCTGTGACCAGTGGGGTTCCAGTGCTGTTTCTGGTATTGGTGAACGACATGACGGAAGGAATAGACTCTGAAATGTCCCTGTTTGCAGACGATGTGAAGTTGATGAAAAGAATTCAATCGAACGAGGACCAGGCAGATCTAAAAAGGGATTTGGACAGGCTGCACACCTGGTCCAGTAATTGGCTCCTGGAGTTCAACTCCACCAAGTCCAAAGTAATGAAGATTGGGGAAGGGCAAAGAAGACCGCAGACGGAGTACAGTCTAGGGGCCCAGAAACTACAAACCTCACTCAAGAAAACAGATCTTGGGGTGAGTATAACACCAGGCGCATCTCCAGAGGTAAACATCGACCAAATAACTGCTGCAGCATATTGGTGCCTGGCAAACCTTAGAACAGCATTCCGCCATCTTAATAAGGAATCGTTCAGGACCCTGTACACCGTGTACGTTAGGTCCATACTGGAGTATGCGGCACCAGTTTGGAACC